GATCTCACAGGCTGTATAATCTCTGTCTCAGCCACTCAGCCTGCTGTCACAGAGAGGAAGCAGCCATAGACAAAACGTAAACCTATGAGTAGGGCTAGGGTTCCATTAAGCTTTATGGACACTGACATTTGAATTTTTCTTTTTGAAAAATTTTTTCAGCCAGGCTCAGTGGCTCAGCCTGTCATCCCAGCACTTTGGGAGATCAAGGTGAGTGGATGGACTGAGGTTTGAGGCCAGCCTGGACAGCATGGCGAGACCTCATGTCTACAGTAAACCAAAAAATTGGCTGGTGTGGTAGCGCACGCCTGTAGTTCCGGCTACTTGGAAGGCTGAGGTGGAAGGATCGCCGGAGCCCAGCAGGTCGGCACTGGGGTGCCTGTGAGCATGCCACTGCACTCCAGCCTGGGCGACAGAGGGAGCCTCCAACTCAAAAAAATAAATTTTTTTTCTGCTTCTGTTTTCTTAGACATAGGGTCTCACTCTGTGGACCAGGCTGGAGTGCGGTGGTGCAGTCACAGCTCATCGCAGCTTCGACCTCCCGGGCTCAGGCGATCCTTCTGCCTCAGCCTCCTGCGTGACTGGGACTACAGGCACGCGCCACCACGCCTGGCTAATTCTTTGGATTTTTTGGGTAGAGACGAGGTCTCACTATGCTTTCCAGGTTGGTGTTGAACCCCTGGCCTCAGCCTCCCAAACTGTCGGAATTACAGGTGTGAGCCACCGAACTCGGCCTGAATTTCATATAATTCTCACGTGTCACAAAATAGTCATCTTCTTTTGCCTTTTCTCCCAACTATTAAAAAAAAAGTACAAGTTGTTCTTAGTCTGCAGGCAGGCCACACAAAACCGGGCAGAGGTCCAAATGGCCCATGAATTGCAGTTTCCATACTTCTAAATTTAGAACATGAGTTTTCACATTCTTAGTTTTGATTCGGCTGGGCTGGCTTATGTGTGCCAGTAAGTCCTTGTTTTTCCTCACTGGATCTGGGTGGTAGAGGGTCAGTTATATATATCCTCAGTTCATGGCGCTCTGTACTTGCTGGTCCCTGCGAGACCGCTTCTCTTGTCTGTGTTTTTAATTTGTTTCTTTTAATCACCATTCCTTACTTTCATCTCTCCAGTGGCCACCATCCTGGTGTGTTTAATGTGCGCCCTTTGGTTCGTATGATTTTTTTTTTTGAGTTGGATTCTCACTCTGTTGCCCAGGTTGGAGTGCAGTGGCATGCTCACGGCCACCCCAACGTTGACCTGCTAGACTCCAGCGTTCCCTCTGTCTCAGCTTTCCAAGTAGCTGGAACTACAGGCACGCACTACCATGCCCGGCTCATTTAAAAGTTTTTTTTTTTGAGTTGGAGTCTCACTCTGTCGCCCAGACTGGAGTGCAGTGGCCGCTCCCGGCCACCGCAGCCTTGACCCGCTGGGCTCCGGCAATCCTTCTGCCTTAGCCTTCCGAGTAGCTGGAACTACAGGCGCACTACCACGCCTGGCTCATTTTGATTTTTTTATTGTAGAGGTGAGGTTTCGCCAAGTTGCCCAGGCGGGTCTCAAACCCACGGGCTCAGGCAACCCACTCACCTCAGCCTCCCAAAGGCGCGGGATTACAGGCTGAGCCACCGAGCCCGGCTTAAATTTTTTTATTGTAGAGATGAGATCCAAGTTGCCCGGGCTGGTCTCAAACCTTCAGGCTCAGGCAGTCCACTTGCCTCGGCCTCCCAAAGTGCTGTGATTACAGGTTGAGACACTGAGCCCGTCCTGGTTTGTATGATTTGTTGTTGTTGTTGTTGTTTTTTGAGTTGGAGTCTCACTCTGTCACCCAGACTGGAGTGCAGTGGCCGCTCCCGGCCACCGCAGCATCGACTTTCTGGGCTCCGGCAATCCTTCCGCCTCAGCCTTCCAAGTAGCTGGAACTACAGGCAAGCGCTACCACGCCTGGCTAATTTTTTGATTTATTGTAGAGATGAGGTCTCGCCAAGTTGCCTAGGTGGGTCTCGAACCCGCAGACTCAGGCAATCCACTTACCTCAGCCTCTCAAAGGTGCGGGATTACAGGCTGAGCCACCGAGCCCGGCTGATTTTTTGTTGTTAAATTGAGACAAGGTCTTGCTGTGTTTCCCAGAATGGTCTCAAACTCCTGGATTCAAGCAACCCTCTCGCCTCAGCCTCCCAAAGGGCTAGAATTACAGGCATGTGCCACCATATCCGGCTGCTTATAATATTTTAAATTACTTTTTTGTCATAATGAGACATAAAGACTCTGTCTTTATGTCTTATTCTGTTGCCCAGCCTGGAGTATAGTGGTGTGATCATAGCTCACTGCAGCCTTGAACTCTTGGGCTCAAGTAGTCCTCCCTCCTTGGCCTCCTACAGTACTGAGATTACAGGCGTGAGCCACCGTGCCCAGCCTAATGCAACATGTGTCTATGTGTCGGTCTCTTCCCATTGATATTTTTCTAGAACAGTGAGCTCCTTTGGTCCATTTACCACCAACTGCTTAGTACTTGACAGCACATTGCTGATGTCTACACTGTTGCCTTGTTCAATCTGCAGCCTCCCTCGGGGCTACGCCCTTGCCTATCTCGAGAGATCCTCCAGTTAAATCCTTTTTGGAGATCCTTGAAGACTGTGTGACTCTGACTGAACAATGTATGTTTTTCTTTTATGGTGGAAAACAAATGGGACTCATAAATTGTGACCATCTGCTGGGCTCGGTGGCTCAACCTGTAATCCCGGCACTTTGGGAGGCTGAGGTGAGTGGACTGCCTGAGCCCACGGGTTTGAGACCAGCCAGGCAACTTGGCAAGACCTTGTCTCTACAATAAATAAAAAACAAATTAGCTGAGCGTGGTAGTGCATGTCTGTAGTTCCGGCTACTTGGAAGGCTGAGGCAGAAGGATTGCTGGAGCCCAGCAGGCCAACATTGGGGTGGCCGTGAGCGTGCCACTGCACTCCAGCCTGGGTGACGGAGTGAGACTCCAACTAAAAGAAAAAAATTGTGACCATCATCCATTGTTCTGAAATAGGTTCTCAGAAAGAACTGGGCACTCTCATTTTGGAAGACACATTGTATGTACCACAATAAGAAAACACGATTTATCTGTAAAATTCCCATGAAAAGATTTTTTCTCTGGCATATATGATGCTTGTTTGTAGTTTTAATGTCTCTATAGAATAACAAGTAAGCTGCTCATTGCCCCTGTTCATAGGTGCTGTCGAGTTGTGATTGACTATTCCCACTGCCCGTCTTTTTTTTTTTCTTTCTTTTTTTTTGAGTAGAGATCTCATTCTATCACCAAAACTAGAGGGCAGTGTCAGGATCACAGGTCACTGCAGCCTCGACTTTCTGGGCTCAGGTGATCCGTCAGCCTCAACCTCCCGAGTAGCTGGGAGGTACTACTAATTTTTGTAATTTTTTACTTTGTAGAGACAGGGTCTCACTATGTTGCCTAGGCTGGTCTTGAACTCCTAGGCTCAACCAATCTTCTCGCCTTAGCCTCCCAAAGTGCTGGGATGACAGGCGTGAGCCACCGTGCCCAGCCTGCCCATCATTTTTCCCCCAGGAAGGCCATCCATGGGGGAGTTCCCTCACTCCTCAGCCTTGATGGAATCTCTCAGGCAGGCCCACCAAGCTTGGCGGTGGGAGGTGGGCAACCCTCTATGGGTCTGCCCCTAGGAGACAGCAGGCCACAGTCTCCCGCCACACCCTCTCTACGACGCAGGTGGTGCGGCCCTAACGGCCCATGAGACTCCAGCAAAGGAGGCCAGAGGGGCGAGAACCAAGCCTTGATGGGCTCCGTCTCTAGGTGTTCCAGACGGTTGTTTTCTTTGCTTATCACAAAGTTGACAAGTTGGCCTGGACCAGAGAAGCTAGCTCATCACCCTTGATTCTGCTCAGAGTCAGAGCTCTCCCTGCCCCAGCACTTAGTCCAGTGCCTGACAGTGGGAGTCTAGAGCCTGAGAGTGGGGCCTCAATCCAGGTCTTTCTCTGTCACCCAGGCTGGAGTGCAATGGCACAATCACGGCTCACCGCAGCCTCGACCTCCTGGGCTTAGGCGATTCTTCTGCCTCAGCCTCCCAAGTAGTTGGGACTATAGGCATACACTACCCTGCTTAGCTAATGTTTTGATTTTTTTTGAGGAAGGCTAGTCTCAAACGCCGGGACCCAAGCAGACCTCCCACCTTGGCCTCCCAAAGTAGTGGGATTACGGGCATGAACCACTGTGCCAGCCTTCACTCAAATTCTTCTGCATCCCTAGGCCTAGATTTCTTCATCTATAAGATGGAATGCATCCCAGTTCTGCCTTCTATGATAGCTGTATGGACTTATTGAACTGCCTATAAAATACTTAGCAGAGTGCTTGGCTTAGAGTAAGAGTTCATTAAATAATATCCCTAGAAATAGTAACGATAACCGGGTGTGGTGGCTCACAGTTGTAATCCCAGCTCTTTGGGAGGCAGAGGTGAGAGGATTGCCTGAGCCCAGGGGTTCGAGACCAGCCCAGGCAACTTGGCGAGACCTCATTTCTGCAATAAATCAAAAAATTAGCCGGGTGTGGTGGTGTGTGCCTGTAGTTTCAACTACTTGGAAGGCTGAGGTGGAAGGGTCACCTGAGCCTAGCAGGTTAAGGTCACGGTGGCTGTGAGTGTGCCACTGCATTCTAGCATTCTAGCTTGGATGACAGAGTGAGACTCCTACTCAAAAAAAGAAAAAGAAAAAAAAAGAGAAAGGAAAGAACCAATAATAAGGCAGAGACCCCAGCCAAGAAGAAACCCAGGTTTGCACTTAGCACTTTGAAATGACAGAGAGGGAGACCCATTGTCCCCTGCAGGTCTGGGCACAGGCTTGTGAAGCCTGGCTGACTTTGGGCTGTCTGGGCAGGGGTTGGGCACATGTCCAGCTGAGCTGATAACCAGAGACTGCTGGGCTGCACCTTCCTAGCCGAGCCCTGCTCCTGGTTCCAAGGTCTCCTGTCGCCTCTGATGACTCTGTTCTTTGTTTTGCAGCCAGAGCCCAAGCCTGGAGATCTGATTGAGATTTTCCGCCCTTTCTACAGACACTGGGCCATCTACGTTGGCGATGGCTACGTGGTCCACCTGGCCCCCCCAAGTAAGGGCACACAGAGCCTCACTGTGTTGGGCCCAGGGCCTGGGAAGAGGGGTTGGGGGAGTTATGGGTAATTCTTGCTTCCTGGTGGGTGGTTTGTTTCAAGAAGGCACTTCGGTAAGGGGCAGTGGTTTTCTTTTTCCTTTTTTTTTTGAGTTGGAGTCTCACTCGGTCGCCCAGACTGGAGTGCAGTGGCCGCTCCCGGCCACCGCAGCCTCAACCTGCTCGGCTCCGGTGATCCTTCCGCCTCAGCCTTCCGAGTAGCCGGAATTACAGGCACGCGCTACCACGCCCGGCTGATTTTTTGATTTATTGTAGAGATGAGGTCTCGCTGCCCAGGTGGGTCTCGAACCCGCGGGCTCAGGCAATCCACTCACCTCAGCCTCCCAAAGGCGCGGGATTACAGGCTGAGCCACCGAACCCGGCTTAGGGGCAGTGGTTTTCAAAGTCTGCCCCTTGGAACCCCAGGGGGTTTTGCAGAGGGGCTGAGGTGGGCGTCCAGGGTGCAGCTCTGCTTTTTTGTGTTTTATGTACTATGACTTTATCTATATATAGCTCTTTCTTTTTTTTTTTTTGAGTCAGAGTCTCACTCTGTCACCCAGGCTGGAGTGCAGGGGCACACTCATGGCCACCGCAGTCTTGACCTGCTGGGCTCAGGCGATCCTTCCATCTCGGCCTCCCAAGTAGCTGGGACTACAAGCACATGCCACCACATGTTTGTTTGTTTGTTTGTTTTTTGAGTTGGAGTCTCACTCTGTCGCCCAGACTGAAGTGCAGTGGCACACTCACGGCCACCGCAGCCTTGACCTGCTGGGCTCCAGCGATCCTTCCACCTCAGTCTCCCAAGTAGCTGGAACTACAGGTGTGCGCTACCATGCCCGGCTAATTTTTGATATATTGTAGAGATGAGGTCTTGCCAAGTTGCCCGGGCTGATCTCGAACCCATGGGCTCAGGCTGTCCATTCTCCTCGGCCTCCCAGAGGGCTGGGATTACAGACTGAGCCACTGAGCCCGGCCTCTGACTCTTTCTTTGCTCTGCTGCTCGAGTACCTGTCATCATGACTCTCAGAAGGCCTTCCACATCAAGACAAAGCCCAGGCATCATGTTCCCATCACAGCTCACTTGGCTTCTCTGGAGCCTTTGAGGCAAGTGGCCTCTCTTGCTCTCCACCTGGCTCCTGTCTGCCCTCCTCTCCCACTGGGCCCTTCCCTCTTGGTCTCTCGGGTGGTCTCTTCCCCCTCTCCCATAGCGCTAAATGGAGCTCAGGTGATTTCATCGGGTCCCTTGGCTTCCAACCCCTTCTATTTGTCTGTGGTTCCTGAGACATCTGCTCAGCTTGGTAACCTTGGCATCTCCCCTTGGGTGTCTAATGGCACCTTGAACTTGACATACCCCAAATGGAGGACTCCAGTAGATGACACCATCCAGCCGCTCAGGCCGAGAACCTAGGAGTCATTCATTCTCCATCCTTTTCGCCCTGTGTTTCAGCCATCAGGGAATCCTGTTGACTTCATCTCGGAAACAGATCCCGGATCTGATCCCTTCTTAGCACCCCCCCCCCGCAGCACCCCTGGTGTGAGGGACCACCTTCCTTCCCCTGGTGCTGCTGCAGTGTCTCTGCCTCTTGCCACTTGTGGGCGGTCTCTCCTTCATGGCAGCCAGTGTGATCCTTCTGAAGTGTCAGTCAGATCCGTGCTATGTTCCTATTGGAGGAGCTGCATGGGAGCAGGGTGGGGCCAACGCCATGATATAGTACTATCGGACGCAAAACAAAGCTGGCTACGGATTGGAGGCTTGCAGGTTTGAAATTCACACGCGGGAAGGTTTGAAATTCGCGTGCGCGGGGAGTTGTGCTCACAGAAACCGGGATCTAAGACCTTTGTTGTCTAGTGTGTCGGCGCCATTTTGGGAGCCACCCCTCTGGTCGCTTCCTGCACCCTTCAACTCCTCTCTTGAAAATATGATGGACCTTCTCACTAAACGTAGAGTGAGGTTCATGGTTTGTCCTGTGACTTGTGGGGCCCAGCGTGGTCTGGCCTCTGCCTGCCTGTCTGGACCTTGTCTTCTTTTATTTTCTCCTGGGTCTCTGAACTCCAGCCATGTCAGCTGCCTTTCGAGTGCGCTGAGCTCTTTCTTTCCCAGATCTGTGCCCTGGCTGTTCCTTCTGCTGGGGGCGTTCTTCCCCAGAGCACTCAGCTTCTTCAAGCTTTGGATCAGATGCCCTTTCCTCAAGGTGACTTCCCCAGTTCAAGCCATGGCCGTCTCTCCTGGTCATCCTCTCTGTGTTACTTCACCTGGTCTTCTCCATAGCATTCGTCAATACCTGAGCATATCTTTTTTTTTCTTTATTTTTGGAACATATCTTATTTTGTCCATTTGTTCGTTGTCCATGTTCTCTCCGTAGAATGAAAATTGCTCGCCAGCAGGTCCTGTCTAGTCGTACCACTGACGCCAGCACCTTGGACAAGGTCCGGCACCTGTGGGGCCTCGGTCTGGCGTGGCTGCCTGGGGCAGGTTAGCTGGCGGGTGGGGGACAGGGGAAGGCGTGGACAAGTGGACAGGTGTGTCACTGATCATTGGGTGAGTGATGCTCCTTCAAGGGAAAAGACTCTTCTCCCTGCAGCTTCTCATTCGAGCGTCACAAGAATCCTATGGGATGGATGAGGCAAGGAGGTTTGACCTGCTGCTGAAGAAACTGTAGAATCAAAGTTGGCAGGAAGCTCAGTGAACTTTCAGAAGCACTCGGCCTGTGACAGACATCGGTGAAGGCACCTTCTGCAGCTGAATCCTTTAACCCGCACAGCTCCTCGTGTGGTGGGACTGTTACTGTCCCTGTCCTGCAAGCACGTGGGGGCTCAGGGAAGTTAAGGAGCTTGCCCAAGGTCACATAGTGGGTAAGAGGCCTGGCAGGCTCTTCGAACCCAGACGGTCTGATTTCATTCTGTGTCTTTCACCACCAAGCTCTACTGGCCAGTCTGTGTTCTCCCCAAATTCAGTCACTGATTCTTTGCCATAGCCACATGCCTGTTTTTGTTTGTTTGTTTGGGGTTTTTTTGAGTCAGTCTCTCTCTGTCGCCCAGGCTGGAGTGTAGTGGCATGCTCACGGCTTACTGCAGCCTCGAGCTCCTGGGCTTAGACTACCCTTCTGCCTCAGCCCCTGGAGTAGCTGGGACTACAGTCACGCACCACCACGCCTGGCTGATCTTTTCGATTTTTTTGTAGAGTTGAGGTCTCGCTATGTTGCCCACGCTGGTCTCGAACTCCTGGGCTCAAGCGATCCTCCCACCTCAGCCTTCCAAGTAGCTGGGATTACAGGTGTGAGCCACTTCATCCAGCTTTACATGTCTTTTCTACAACTGTTTACTTAATATTTTCTTTAATAGAATCACTTAAAAAAAATGAAACTAGCCAGGCTTGGTGGCTCAGCATGTAATCCCAGCACTTTGGGAGCTCCGAGGAGAGTGGATTGCCTGAGCGCATGAGTTTGAGACCAGCCCAGGCACCCTGGTGAGATCTTGTTTCCACAGTCAATCAAAAATTAGCTGGGTGTGATTAGTGTGCTCCTGTACCCCGGTACGGGTCCTTGTAAGGCTGAGGTGGAAGGATCACTGGAGCCCAGCAGGTCGACTCTGGGGGCCTGTGAGCATGCCACTGCATTGCAGCCTGGGGTGACGGCGTGAGCTTGCCCAAGGTCATATAGTGGGTAAGAGGCCTGGCGGGCTTCGAACCCAGGCAGTCTGATTTCATTCTGTGTCTTTTCACCACCAAGCTATACTGGCCAGTGTAAAAGGCGCTTTACATGACTATGTTGGTATGTATTTGTGTATCAGTTTTGGTATGCACTTGGTGATTCCCACAGTATACGATTCAGCAGAGTTAAGTGACAAGTCCAGGTCACTCAGCTGAGCAGTGGTGGAGCCCAACTCAGAACCCAGAGTTTCTGACCAATCCAGTGCACATGGCCCTGCCCTCCTGGGAGGCTGCTAGGTAGGCGTTTAAGGGAGCCCTCCTTCTCAGGTGTTGACCCTGAACTTGCATGACCCTGGGAGTTGGAACTTCCTTCAATGGGCTCAGGGCAACTTGCTTGCCTCAGGCTAGTCCCAGCCCTGTCACCCTGTCTCCCACTGGCCTCAGGAGTTTACTCTCGCCACAGACTCAGGGGTCAGCGAAGGCACCCTCCTCTTTTACTGACATTGAATCCCTCAAGCACCACCTGCGCTATTATTGGCAAGTCTGAATTCCCTGATTTTTGACAGTCGCAGCACTGAACTCAGGGTGAAGGAGTTTAGTTACCTTTGGGAAGCCAAGCAGAGTAGGACCTGGGATCCGGTCATTGTTTGTTGCTGTTACACGGTATCACCGTTGAAGATGGGTCCTGCTCAGCTTTGTTTTTGTTTTAGTTTTGGGGTCAGAGTCTCACTCTGTCACCCAGACTGGAGTGCAGTGGCACAATCACAGCTCATCACAGCCTTGGTCTCTTGGGCTCAGGAGGTCCTTCCATCTTAGCCTCCCGAGTAGCTGGGGCATGTGCCTCCATGCCCGGCTAGTTTGTTTTTTTTTTTAATTTGGAGTCTCACTCTGTCGCCCAGACT